AGGTGGTGAGGGGGGGAGGGGGGAGGGGAAATGGGTGAGGGGGAATAGAGGAGGAGAGATACAGCTCAATAATATCATAAAACATTCTACACTCCCCGCAACAACTATAAAGAAGATGAAGACAATGACGCAGACACGCGTATTGAAAATAGGAGGTTTGACGCTTTACAAAGCTTTGCAACTCTGAAGCTTCGGTGACATTTGACGTAATACAGGACACTATTTTTGTGTCAATCAGTCAATATTCCTGCGCATGTACAAACCCTCTGCGAAGCATAACACATCGACCCCACATCTCTTCTACGCTCCAGCTTCAAACAGATGTTGACATTTTCTACCTGTCTCTGAATTACCTTGCTTGGATCGCTGAATGAGTAGGTTTTTTAAACGCCTTTGGGCTCATGACAGAAAGGTAGGTTGCATTAAAATGGACTGTTGCTTATGGACTACAGTACGACAGTGTTATGGCTTTACGTCACTAGGGGTGAACTGTCCGTATAATTGGTAGATATTTTGCTCTAAACTGTGTATGGATTATTCTTCTCAATGAAAGTATACTTAAATAAAGGGACACTTTGGACAAAATAGTCCTGAGGCGACGATTAGTCACTTTATAGTGTATTGCTCAATGTAATATAAATATCGAAAGTATGTCAAAATTAATTATTGCACTTATTGAATTAACCCTAACAAGAATTTCATTGATTTTTATTCCACAACCAATGCAAAGCTAATGGATGTGGAATAAAAATCAAATAAATTCTTGCGATGGTTAATTCAATAAGTGCAATAATTAATTTATATCAATAGAGTGATCATTGAATGTGCCTTCATTTGGAACAATATGCATATCATGGATATTGACTGGTTGGTTTCTTTAGACAGAGTTTACATATTCAACTGAAAGCATAATATTATTATTTGTCATACTTTCGATATTTATATTGCATTGAGCAATACACTATAATGTGACATGTCGTCGCCTCTGAACTATTTTGTCCAAAGGGCCTCTTTATTTAAGTATACCTTGCTCAAAATTGTTCTGAGGCAACGTAACATTGCCCGAGAAGTCTCCATTTGGCTCATAGACACTACAGTACTATCTAAGACGCATACATTTATTTTTTCTCCGGTTACATCATTTGTAGCTTGCTAGTGAATTATTGATGATTTTGCTTCTAGTATTGAAAGAAGACGCATTTTTCTATTTCTATGGACTGCGCTTTTTGGGGGTTTTTTTTGGGTGCTTTTCACAAGCTGCGACGATCAAAGAAGTGACTCGGGATTCGTGAGGAATATTGACTTGTCTTTGGGAGACCGTCAGATGCACATGAACTCGTGTTTTAGGTCTAATGATTTATAGAAGTAGGGCAACAAACACCAGCAATGTCATCACTTAGAGGCGGCCTCCATGTGATACTTCGTTGCACCCTTTTTAAATCTTTAAAAAATTGATTGTTTTCTTTTGTAATGTACAGAGCAAATGTATTCTGTTGAACCATTTAAAATGAATATGAGACACATTCCTTTTGGCTGCCCAATATTGTGTTCAAATTTGAAACACAAGGCGCCATTGTGGAGGAAAATGTTTACAAAAAAAGGTCGTAAAGTTAAAAAACAACAACCTGTATGTGGCTGGGA